CATTTTATCTTCATATTTCCAAACCCTGGCACTAATCCTAGCTCTCAGTAGCCTCCCAGTAAATGTTTTCCGAATGAATGGGCCTCAGTTAAGAAGCTCTACAGCCACTGGGATTCCGGAAGGGACGGGGGAAGTGAATAATTTATCACAGACTTCCCAGGAACTCCTGCTGTCCTCCAGACACTAGGGCCATTGTGGATGTGTCTGGGAAGCCCTGCTCTCCCTGCCCTGCCTTCTCCCTCCCCCCAGTTTCCAGGAGAGAGGGCAGGAGGTTTAATGAAGTTCAGAGATTGCCCAAGGCAGAAGTGGATTCGTCAGGTTCTCAGGTAGATATTTGTCAAGGGGCAGATGTTTAAAAAAAATGTAAGAAATCGAGATTCTCAACAAGCCCTCTGTTTGATTTTCTATATGTAAACTTTGTCCTCCTAGTACCTGGATCCTTGCTGCTCCTTCTACGGCCGCGGCTCTGCCGTTTTTCAGCCCATCTGTTAGACCCTGACCACTTCTGACTTTTTTTTTTTTTAAACACTCTAAATCTCTATTATACTGTGCCCCATGCCAGGATTTTTCCATGTGGGGGTAGAAAAAAAAATCCCCAAGCCCACCAAAACCCTGTGGGTTGGTTTCCTGTCCAGCTGGCTTGCTGTTCCCTAGGATTTTATTCCCATCATCAAAGTGGCTTGACAGACCAAGAACAAACCTCTGGCTCACCCTGAACTCACAGTGTACCATTTCCAAGTCAGAACAAACATCAAGTAACAGTGAGAGAGAAAGAGAGAGAATAAAATGATTTTCCTGACCTAGAAGCCAGTTCAGAGTGAGGCCCAGCTCTGACTCCAGACAAGGATGTCATGTGGCTGTGGTCGTGGCTCTGGCTGTGGCCGTCCTTGGGTGTGGAGGCATGAACAGTGGACTCCAAGCCAGAATTTCTGTCTCAGTGGGTCTCAAAGGAGAAGCCATGGAAGGACTCCTTTATGACCCCAGATCCTCTGTTTCTGGGAATCAAGAGCAGCAGCATTCGAGGGAACATCCCACAATCTCGATGAGTGCATCAGACTTGGCCCAGAGCCTCTCCATTATGGGGGCAGTCACAGTGGTCCCCGGAGTGTCCCAGGAGGCCAGCAAGGTCACCAGCCCGTGCCAGGTCCAAAAAAAGATGCAGAACACTTCAGCCAGGTAGGCAGGGGTCTCTAAAGAGTGCCAACCTTTTCTCCACTCATTTAGAAATCCTAAAAAATATATTAACTTAGCTAAAAATCTCATGGAAACTAGGCTCCTCATCAGAGTTGAAAGTCAAACCAGTTTCCCCAAAATTTCCCTCTATTGTTCTGTATGGCTCTACCAACAGAAAAACATCCAGGGTGAGAGGCTATGACGCTGAGGCCACCTGGGAGCAGGCAACGCATTTTTACACTAAGAAGCACCCAGTTAGCATGAGGCATCCCATCTCCTGAAGGCCTGGACTACATTCTTCTTGTTCCTGCTTTTCAACACATTCTCACATCTTCCCCTCCTGATCTCCCCAGGTCTGTAGACAGGCCAGACTAATTACTTCCCATATCTATTGCCCCCTCTCAAAATGCCCTTCCCCATCAACTTTGTCTAGCTAAAATCTTCCCAGCGTTCACAGCCCAGTTGGAATTACATCTTCATAAACCTTTCCCATTGCTCCAGTCCACCCTGATGTTCTTTCTCTTCACTCCTTACATCTTGTCCCAAAGTTTGCCCTTATTTTTGTCTCCGTAAGTCGACAGAATTCTCTGAGGTCAGAAATCATCTCCTGTACCTCACTTCCCAGCACTTAGCTCAAAGCTGGGTGCTCAGGGAATTCCATCTGCTCTCCGCAGGCCGCTTACTCAGCCCTGTACTAGATATCTGATGATTCATTAACCCCCAGCGTTGGCTTTTCTCGCTTTTGTTCTTGAGTGGCCCTTTCTTTGGCAGAGGAAAGTCCTACCTGTTAAACAGTGGAAATGCCAGAATTGCAAATTATATCATTAAAGAAGTTTTCATAAACTGTGGGTCTTTCATAGGGAGTAGAAGAATAAGGACAAGGACTTAGGATTGAGAGACCTGGAGAAAACGAGACAGAAACAAAAGATAGGGGCAGGATTGGGAAGAAAAAATTCCAAATAGATAAAAGTTTTAAGCAACAACGACAAAAAATGGAACTGTGAAGTACTACAAGAAAATAGGGGAAAATTCTAAATTATAGATATTAAGTTATCTATCTATATAATCTTAAAGAAGGTTTAGACTTTGTAAGCCTGATATAAAACCCGGGAGACACAAATAAAAATACCAATATATTTGGCTGCATAGAACTAAACATTTTTGACTTGTAAAAAATTTATAAAGTTGAAAGACAAATGATAAACTGTAAAAATATTTGTAGCATGTGACAAAGAGTAGATTTCCTTAATACACAGAGAGTTCCCACAAATCAACAAGAAGAAGACCAACAACGTAATGGACAGAGAAATTGAATACATTTCACAGAACAGGAAATTCGGGTATCTTTTTTGAAAAGCATGTGAAGTGATGATCAGCCTCACTTATAACAAAATAATTGCAACATAAAAATGATGAGATACTGGGGTGCCTGGGTGGCTCAGTCGTTAAGCATCTGCCTTCGGCTCAGGTCATGATCCCAGGGTCCTGGGATCGAGCCCCACATCAGGCTCCCTGCTCAGTGGGAAGCCTGCTTCTTCTTCTCCCACTCCCCCTGCTTGTGTTCCCTCTCTCGCTGTATCTCTCTCTGTCAAATAAATAAATAAAATCTTAAAAAAAAAAAATGATGAGATACTGTTTTTCACTTATCATCTTGGTAAAAGTCAAAAAGTTTAATAGTGCACTGTGTTAGGTTGTGGGAGACTAGAATTCTGACATGCTGTTGGTGAAAGTGAAAATTGGTACAGTCTCTTTGGAGAGCATCTTATTAAAAGCAATCATAGTTTTAAATGTGCAAATATCTTGATCCATCCATTCAGCTTCTAGGAATTTCTCCCCTGAGTACTCATTGATATGCACAAAACTGATGTATCTATACATTCCTTATTGTTTTTAGCAAAATATCTTAAACAATCTGAATTCTTTCAAAAGGGGATTGGTACCTCCATGGCATGGAGCAGTCTACAACCATTGAAAAATGAGGCAGATCTCTGTTTTTATTTTATTTTTTTAAAAATTTTATTTATTTGTCAGAGAGAGAGAGTGCATGCACAAGCAGGGAGAGCAACAGGCAGAGGGAGAAGCAGGCTCCCCGCCGAGCAAGGAGCCCGATGCAGGACTCAGTCCCAGGATGCCGGGATCATGACCCGAGCCAAAGGCAGAAGCTTAACCAAATGAGCCAGCCAAGTGTCCCCAGATCTCTGTTTTTAGTGGCATGATGTCAAAAATATGTAAGTGAGAAAAAGTAATGCCTAGAACTTAGTATATAGTGAACTACTATTTGTGTAAGAATAAAGAAGTGGGTAGCTATAGGTAGATGCTCGTAAATGAACAGAATGAGCCTGGAAGGACATACTGAGAAGTAGTAATAGTGGTTGCCTCGGGGGAACAGAAGGTGAGTAGAGGACAGTGGGTGGAAGAGAACTTATGCCCTTTTGTACTGACTTATTTTTATACCATGTACACATGTTACCTATTTTTTAAAGCTGATTTTTTAAAAAATAGCTAGGTGCAGGTATGAAATTAGGCCAAACGTGAGGTATGCATATAAACTAGGAGTTATGGTAGGGTAGGAGTGGAAGCAAGCAGATAACTGTAGAGGAAGCAAGTCAGTAGCACAGAAACGAGGCAGGTCAGCCACAGAGAGACCTGGACACAAGACAGTTTTAAGTCAAAAGGACCTGATTTGCTTTTCATGCGAGAGCATATGCCCACCCTAGATATGGGCAGTTCAGGATAGAGTAGGAATAAACTTTAGGGAAATGGTAAGACTGTTCAAATGCAGGGAATGGGGAGGATGGGTTTAGGGGTCAGGTAAATAGAATTTCACTAGCCAGAACACTTGTGCCATTCCCTACTCTTAGGCTGGAAGCAGAGAAGGCAGGGAGCGAACACTGATGGAGCGTCTGCCGTGGCCCGGCAGCGAGGCGGAAATTCCGGTTGCCGCGCCACACCGGAAGTCACGGTGACTCACCATGCAGTGATTAGGGTTTCCATTGTACCGGTCAGGAATATGACTCAGGTCACAGAAATAAGCGGCAAAGCCAAGATTCAAACCCAGAGCTGTCCCTTCTCTTTTTACTACCTGTACTGAATTATTAGTACACCAGGGAGGCCCTTTTCATGGTCAATCTGAACCGGGGCTCAGAGCCAGGTGACCTTCAGCACTGTTCTCAAAAGAAAGTCTTCATTCTTCCTTTTTTAACCAGACCCCTAAATCCAAGCCCACTTACTTTTTCTAGCGTGTGGTTCAAAGAGTAAAGTGAACTCCATTTACTGAAAGAAGAACTTTCCATTCATTGGGAAAGGAATGTCTGTCGCAGGGTTTGTTAGTGCTTCCGTGTGTTTGTTTATCAGCTGGTTATTTTAAGTCCATAGGTATGGTTTGTCCTATGGCAGTGAGTTCTCCTTCTCCAAAATGCTCAGTCAGTGACACTCATAACCAATGATTCCCTCCCCGCCCCATATGTCCACTAAAGCGGAAAAATAATAGAATCTAATTCCCCCTGCCAATCTCCTTGTTTTCAAATAACTGGGAGAGGATACTGGGTTTTGTTTGTTTTCAGTTTGTTTTATTTGGAACCAGAGCATAGAGTTTTATCTGTTTTGTGCATGCGTATCCCCAACCTCCACCATATGCTCTAGGATTTCATTTCCTCATTTGACTTACTGACGTGTTTCTACAGTTGGCGATTATCTGTCTTTTTTAGCATTTGCCATAACTCCCTAAGCCTCATGATGTGCCTGTCAGAAAATACCTTTTTCTCTTCTGTGACCCAAACCTCAGGGAGCGAAAATACCAATTTATCTCCTGTTCTTTACCTTTCTAGGCAAAATCCATGTTTGGTGACCAGAGCTGTATATATTGACATTCTCTTCCTGTTGACTCGCTGCCTTGACAAACCCACGGAAGGCACAGAGCCAGGTATGACTCATAGTTATATCATATTTTGGAATGATTATGGATCTTTGAAATACAGGTGGGGCTTTGAATGGTTCTACCACACACTGCCCCCCAGCTTCTACTTTTGTAAAACTAACCACAATCAAAATGGGGCATGGTGTCATATGGTTCCCTCGTAGAAGCTTCTCCAGGAAACTTGCCCTTGTTTAATTGGAAGTTTGCCATTTATTTTCTATTTGGTCATTCAGGAAGGAGTTTGGACTCTACTCAGATACCCTCTGTGTTTCAGAGACCTTGGTTTTTTCCTCTTCCATGCATCATTTTCTTTGAAATTCATCATTTTCAATAACGGAGAGTCCATTCTGCTCCATCCCGTGGAGCAAACTTAGCTGGGTTCATTTGATCCTGGAGTCTGGATACCTGAGACTCAGTCCCAAATCCACCCTTCACTGCCTTAAGCTCTGACTTGAGATGTGTTCCGTGGTTATATATGTTTCCTGGTATGGGGCACCAGATCCATATACAATTGTTCTATTTTAATCATGATTCACAGAGTGGTTTTCTTAAAATGGAGAAGGGCGACTCCAAATTAAAAAAAAAATTTTTTTTTGATGTGTTTATATAAGAGGCTGCAGGAAGTGCTGTACATGAGCTCCAGGCCACAGACTGAAACTGATTTTCATCAACCCAAACTGGAATGCAGGGTAATGAGCCTGCAACTGGTTAAAATCAGCCTCTTCTAATTGATTAGGCCTGTCTAAAGGAGGCTACAATTACAAAGTCACATTCTGAGTACAAGCAGGCCAGGCCTTTCCTCTGTTACATTTAGTCTGTCAATGATTTGTTGTCTTCAGTAAATATATTCAGGCTGTCAGAGTCCAGCTCTGTCCATATGGAACCCTGTTCCCAAATTCAAACGAATTTAAAGTGCTTTGAGGGGGAGGTGCGAAACCACCTCACCCGGATCAATGTACATTAGCCCACAAAGCCCCTGTGGCCATGCAGAGGTAAGAAGAACACGCCTGGACTTTCATCAGCTCCATAGCCCTGCAGAGGGGCAGCTATTGTATCCGTTTAATAGAATAGGATCATATAGTTTTATAGCTGTAAAATAGTCCTAGTTTATGCCTCTTGTCCCAGCGTAATTATTAATAGTGCCTCCCCTTTACCCTTGAAAGTGTCCAGGTTTGCACCATATATTATAGATCACCCCCACTGTAAGGGACCTCAGGGTTGTGCCACCTTATTTTACACTTGAACTAACTGGGGTGCGGGGATTATAGATCAGATGTTACCAAGTAAGTTGGTTCAGGTTTCCTCTATTTTTGTATTTCAGTTCCAAATTCCATATATCTTTTTTTTTTAACGATTTTATTTATTTATTTATTTGAGAGAGAGAGAATGAGAGATAGAGAGCACGAGAGGGAAGAGGGTCAGAGGGAGAAGCAGACTCCCTGCTGAGCAGGGAGCCCGATGTGGGACTCGATCCCGGGACTCCAGGATCATGACCTGAGCCGAAGGCAGTCGCTTAACCAACTGAGCCACCCAGGCGCCCCAAATTCCAAATATCTTGACAGTACTTCTCTGCTTAGTAGCTAAAGGACTTTGGCCTTGAAAGAGTTGCTCACAACTAACGAGTCCAGGCTTTGGGATCCTCTCGGAGTTGTGTGGTTGACTGTAATCATCAGTTTATTTGAACTAAGTTTCTCTTAACGTATTAGTACCTTTATTCCTTGTCTGGAGGGATTAACCCTTGAATGTTGTGGGCAAAATCCATGTTTGGTGGATTCTCTATTCTCTATTCTCCAACCAGGTTTGCCCATTCTATAACATTATGTAATGTTATATAATCATATAATATACATCCACACAAACAGTGGTAATAAAGTTTCCTCCTTTGAGGATGGAACTAGATTTTTAGAACTGACCAAATGTCAAATATGATGGCGATTAAGATGGACGGCACTGTTTAAGAAAAAAATAAACTGTGAACCTAGAGAAATGAAATCTGTTCTTATGTGTTTCATAAATTATTTCCAAAGGCAGCTTGAGCAATAGCTAAATATGTTACCAAACAAGGCGTTCACTTACTTAGATATGTAGACTTCAATATGATTTTGAAATGTCATGACATTACAGTGTTACCCTGCAAGTACCTTGAAAGAATGGATCATGCCTTAGATTCTTCGTCCCTCAGCTAAGCACATAGCAGGCCCTCATCAAATGAGTTGGTTATTAACTGATTGAAATGCAGAGTTTTCCTCAGTTTTTAGAATAGTAACAGTTGTCATCAAGATATGAAGTCTTATTTAAATTCATGCATCAGTCAGTTGTAAATTCATTTTCTGAATTCAGATATTATGTTTATATCATGGTGTTGTCATGTTCATTTCATGTCTGTAAATGTGTACATGTCTACCTCCATTATTAGCTCACAAAGCTCAGAGTAGGGAGTATATCGTTTAGGTTCTAAAGCCGTAGCCCTGGGTTTGAGTCCCAGATCTCCTGTTTAGCTTTGTGACCCTAGGCAAGTCATTGAACCTCTTGGGAGACAATTTTTCTCAACTGTAATTGGGGGTGATGACAGGATCTATATCTTATAGTGGATGTTGACGAGTTTATGTAAATTCCTATGTAAGGAATGTGCTTTGCATCACACAGAATAAGTGCTCAATAAATATTAGCTACTGTTAATATTATGATCCTCATTATCATTAGCTAGAAACCATGCATCTATCTAGTCCCCTGCAGCCCCTTACACTCACAACTCTCCTCTTACTTTAAACATCTTCAGGAAAGAAGAAATGTCTGCTTTCCTGGGAAAATACTGGAAGATGGCATAGCCGTCGTAGAATGTCAGGAAATCCACTTGATTAAGGCTGCTCCTGCCCCCTTGGATTCCAAAAAAGGATCATTTTTGTTGTTCATGTAATTTTTCATCAGAAATGACATGCTAACATCAGACACGTTGAGCACCTATAGCTAGAGACACACATACATGGGTTTTGGGCTTATAAGTAGGGGCAATAAGAGATTACAGGTGCTGTAAAGGAAATGTTTATGGGATACATTGGAGGCGCCAAAGACTGGAAGGTCATTTCTACTTGGGAAGACAGGAAGTCTTCATAGAGGAGAAGGTGGTTGAGAAGAGTTTTGAGGGTGAGTAGAGATTCACCACATGGGCAGGGTGAAGGTGGGCATTATAGATAGAGGGAGGAGCACGGCCAGAGCCACAGAGGCACAAGTCAGCACAGCCTTCAGAGAGCGAGGGCAGTGACCAGAGTGTTGGGTTCAAGCCCAGGCAGGTGTGACTGGAAGTCACAGAGGCAGGAACTCAATCATGAAGGACCTCATAGGCCAATCTGAGGAGCTTGTAGTTGACCTTGTAGACAAAGGAGATTATTGAAGGATATAAGACAGAGACTCACACCAGGTGGTTTTTAAGACAAGGTGACATTTCCTTCTATGCCCTCATCCTCCTAGAATTCTTAGAACCTTATGAACTAAGTTCCTATTGTTGCCAAAAAAGAATGTAACTGAAAATCCATTCATGGATTGTCAGGGGGATTTGTCCAGACATTGTGATCATCAGCACTGGGGGTCTGGAGGTGGGAGTGGGGAACAGAGAACCAGACTGAAGGTAAAGGCCGCAGAGTGCTAAAAATAGCTGTGTTTGAATGGTGCCATCATGGGGGAATTCCTCCTCTTATTTCCATCGTACAGATCTTAAACACCATAATTCTGCTTTATTCATATGAGAGTATGTATTTGTATATCAACAGTAAATGTATCTAACTATGACTCTTGAAGGCGATTAATTATTCCAAAAGAAATGAAGTAGTATCCATCTCAGGGACACATTTTTGGTTGGAGGAGGATCTGTCCATCTCTCACTGTTCTGTACGTGACCTTAGAAGGCTATTTCCACCTCTAAACTGTCTCAGAACCGGGTTGAGGGGCTGGGGCATAAACAAGGAGAAAAACAGTGAAGGTTAAAGGCAGGGAAGACGATTAGAAAAGCTTAAGATAATGATGTGTTTTGTGTGATTCAGACTTTTATCTTAGTGCTTCACCACCCTTTGAGGTTTCCTCAGCCATTAACTAGGTTTTAAAAATTCCAGATCTGGGGGTTTTGTTTTGAGTTCCAAAGTGATTTAAACCCACAGGACTCTCTGTCCCTTGTATTCTTTTTCCTCTTCTGAATCCAGCTGTCATCATTCGTATACATCAGTTTCCTGCTAGAAAGAAAATTATAGTCTCCGGGTGGAGTCGGGGGATGAGGAAGAGGAGGCCTGATTGCACAAGCACTCGGGGCTGCCTTGCAGGCCTGGGCAGGGATGCGGAGACTGAGAGCTTTCACTGTCATTGGAGACCCACCTCCCATTTGTCCGCTCAGCTGGGACACTCTCCATCCCACTCCACCGCGTATAAGTGATCTCAAAAGGCTGTTTCCCTGCCCCTGAAATGTATATAGGATGCCCAGCATACTCTCGTCCTCAGGGAACATTTTCAATACCTTCTTCCTTGTGGGGATCACAACTATGACCAGCAGTTACTGAGCACCTAACTCCAGGCCAAGCATCGTGCCAAGCATCTTGCATGCATCAGTGAGAGAGGTACTAGTGGTTCCTCATGTCAGACATGAGGAAACCCAAGGCAAAGAGACAGCTGGCTGAGTGTCACGTGCGTAGCAGGAGGGCAGAGCCTGACCTCTCGGGGCACTTACCCCATGGCTCCACAGCACAATCAGGGCCAGAATCAGGACCACCACTGCCTTGGGGACGGTGCCCTAGAACCCTCTTGATTGTTCCAACTTCCCAATCCTCTTCCTCTGCTGTAGAACCCCCAGACCTCAGAGAGGGATCCCCTTCATAGGAGCTTCCGGATCACGTGCTCGAGTGGGCACTTTCTTGCCCGCATTTCTGTCTCCCATGCCGGCAGTGTGTGGAACACCATGAGGGTGTACCTGGGACAGAAGCAGTTACTAGAAAGAAAGAGCTTGACCACTCCCAGGCAGCCCC